GGGGGGGGGGGGGGTAAAGTGCTCCCCAACAAAGGCGACTCCATACCCAGAGCTCGAACTTGAGACCTCTAATTAAGGATGAAGGAGTACTTACCACTCCACCACAACCCTTGTTGGTAGAAAAAGCAAAAAATTGTTGAAAAGTCAAAACATGAAAGGATAAAGTTTTCTTGCTATCTTGATGATATTATTGCTCGTTTGCTACTGCTTCTTGTGTTATCTTTCCTTGATCCGAGGATTTCTATCGGAAATAGTCTATCTATCTTCTCAAGATAGGGGGTAAAATTTACGTACATACTATCTTCTCCACACATTGTTTTGGAACAATGATTTTTACTAAACATGATAACTAAATGGGAATTGGCAGTTCGTTAAAGAAGAATAAACGTAAAAGTCGTCAATCCAATCGCTTAAACTAAAAATAGTCTACATATCACACCCTTTGGGGCAACGTTGAAGTTGTCTCTATGTGACCTTTAGGTCACTGGTTCGAGACGTAGAATCAGGCACTGATGCTTGTATCATGGTTGGTTGCCTATATCACACTCCTTGAGGCACGCCCCTTCCATAGACCCTGTGTAAATGTATGATGTATTGATATTTCGTGCACCGAGCTGCCCTATGTATAATTTATGTATAATGTATGTATACCGTATATAATTAATATATAATCTAAGTATACCGATTAGAAAAAATAAACAGTAAATCCCCTCGACTATTTATGTAAAGATGTCGTTGGTAACTAAAAGATACCCCACCTTTCTCAAATTCACTAATCATAATCAGATAGGATCATTTGAATAATCCTTTATTTATGTTCCTTTTTCTTTCTCAAACTCTTTTACATTCATGTAAAGCAACAGAATAGCAATAAGTTTATTGAAGCTCTCACTCAAAGACGAGCCTACATTATAGCTTGAGGGGTAATCAGTACCCGAAGTTTCAGCAAAAAATTCATGTATACTTGTAAATATCTCCAAAAATTAGTCAAATATTAGTATAGACCCCGTACCAATCTTTATGAGCAGTGATAAATTTATACTGAATATCATAGAGCCTCTGTGATCACCGAATCCTGGGTCCGCCTCTGCCTCCGCTCTCACTTGGCTCCAACACCAACATTTCCCAACCAAAAAAGCAAAGGAATTTGAGACAAGGCAATGAAAAGCAAAATGTAATTTCTTTTTGTTGAATGCTTTTCAAAGCTCCTAACCTCTGCAATTAGGATTCTTTTCATGGTTTTTATTAAGAAAATTCCCATGCAAAAGCATTCAAAAAATGTAATTAAATGAAATGAATAATCCCAAATAATCCTAGCAATTAAAATGACTGATGCTGCTACAAAAATGTAGCCACCATACGCAACCATGTCAAGAAGTGGCACTTCTCCACTTCCTAAAGAGTGTAATGTGGCTTCAAGTAAAAGGATTTGCAAAAGCCAACAAAGTAATCCTGTTGTGAATTGTACACCTAAAGCTTCTGGACTAAATCTGCAACAAAATCACAAAAGAGGTTAAGTTTTATGCACTGATATACGGGTGACAATAGCACGAACTAGCCAGCTTTCAGACTGACAATCGAAAAATAGCCAGCATTTATAAAATCACGGAAAAATAGTCATTGTTTCACTGAAACACGGAAAGTTCCAGCATAATATGCAGGATTATGGAGCTCTTGCGTGTAAACGTCCAGCATATTATGTTGGAACTCCAGCACACGGAAAATTTCAGCATAATATGTGGGATTATGGAGCTCTTGCATATAAATTTCGCACATATTATGTTGGAAATGCAGCATATTATGAAATTATAGCACATTATGCTGGAAACTCATATGAAAAAAATTCGAAATCCAACATATTATGCTGGAATATTTTTGGATTTTAAGGATGTTTTTGTTCAGATTTATCTTTATATGAAAAAGTGGCTAAATTTCGATTACTTTTGAAATGTGACTATTTTTCAATTACCAGTTGTAACTATTTTTTATTTTATTTTCTCCCGATGTTAAGATATTCACACAAGTCAGGCCATCTGTAAAATAATTGCAGACAAAATTTTGGAATCTTTACAAAAATAGCCACTTTTTTAATTGATATACATAAATTATGCGCTGATTAAGAAGATTAATGTAGTGATGCAGTGTCAAAAATATTTGTACTATCAGATCAAATTACAGATATTTTTTTATGATAAGCATTTTGATCTAGTAAAAATGGTAATAACCTACTATTGATCACAAGTGCACCAATAGTACTGATAATGTAAAAAGGATTTATTTTGCTTATGTATACAATTTAAATTCAATTATTAAAGAACGATGAGAAGCTTGAAATGCAACAAATACACATTATTTTGAAGAATTAACCTAAATAATCTCCTACTCAACCGCTTAAACAAAAAATAAATGGCGGATGCATAATATATTTATAATTTATGTATAATATATATATAATTGTATATAATTATTGTATAATCTATGTATACCAGATTCAAAAGTATTAAAATTGCATAAATATGACACTTTTAGGGGTGATCTTTAAATTTTAGCACCTACTTACGCTATGAACTTTAAGGTCACAAGGTAAAAGTGTTGCTCACGGGGTGAGCGAAAGGCAACACTTGTTAAATTTAAAGTTCTGCCGATAAAGCAAATAGGGACAACAGTTTAAGACCATCAACTTTAAGGGCTATTTATGTACTTCACCCGAAATCCTCAGGATATTTGCTTAAAGATCTTTTATTCATAGTTGAAAATCATCTTTATATATGATTGAATTTTTAATTAGAGTATACAAGTTAAATGGGAGAAATTCAAAAATAGCCATATTTACAAGTGATCATTCAAAAATAGTCACAATTTTAAAAGTAATTGAAATTTAGCCACTTTTCTTGTAAAGATAAATCTGAACGAAAACACTGTTCAAAATTCGAAACAATACTCCAGTATAATATACTGGAGTTCCAGTATAATATACCGATCCAGCATAATATACTGGAACTTTCCGCGTGTTGGGGTTCATACACAGATGCACCGATCTCCAGTATATTATGCTGGAACTTTCCGTGTTACAGCAAAATAGTGACTATTTTTCAATGATTTTACAAATGCTGGCTATTTTTGAATGACCAGTCCAAAAACTGGCCAGCCCATGCTATTTTTACAAGTTAAATCTATAACATATAAACATGGAATTTCTTTCAAATTAACCAACTTACTTGGTGGTAATGCCCAAGAAGTAGCCAGCAAGAACCAAATAAGTACCAAAAGCCATCATTGGGATGTACAAATCAGGTGCATTAATATCATAAATTGGAGGTTTAAATGAAAATTCTCCTCCAGCTAAATCAGCAGTTCTCATCCAATGTCCCTATATAAAAACATATTTAGGAGAAATAAATATACAACTCAAGATCAAGAAAATAAATAGAGAAATTCAGGACTTTTATAAATACAGTTACCTTATGTACCCCTACCAAGACACTAATATATATTTTATCTGTCCCAATTTATGTAATACATTTTTTTTTAGTTTGTCCCAAAAAAATAATAGCATTTTACTTTTAAAAATAATTTAACTTTAAAATTTTCATTTTATTCTTATTAAGATGATTTATAACTATACAATTATTGAGTTTTAGTTGAGGTCTGAAATAGAGAAAAAAAATGATGGAAAATGAAAATTTTCAAAGTTTCCTTTTTACTAAGGTTCGAAACTTTGTCGCTCGTTGGAAAGGAAGAGGAATATTGTTATGCTTATATATAGAAGCATTTTTTCTAGCTCTTAAAGAGTTGAGAAGAAAGCAAGTCTTGCGGCGTCGACGTCATAGCTCGGCTATACTTTGGCTTCAAATTCGGACACACAAGAAACTTTTAGGCTCGGAATAATTTTTAAATTGTGTTAATTAACATTTTGGTTTTCTGGATTTCTATTTATGAACTGAGTAATACTAATACAAATATCTATAATTTATTTAAAATAACAAGTTTAAAAAAATCTTTCGTTTTTTCTTAAACCCCTGATCACCCAAAGTGCATCACATAAAATAGGACGGAGGGAATAACTTAATACCCTTCTACTATGATATTAATTCCAATAAAACAAATGCACTTATAATATTGAAAATGTTCTAGTCTTTACCTTGTGAAGAAATGGGAATAAAATCACCTTCAATTTATTCTTCACGTATTCTTCATTCACTTGAAAATAATACTTAGGATTCGAAATGTATCTGCTAATCTGTGAATCTCAAAAAAAATTAGAAAATAAAAAATACAGTAACAATAATTTCATTCAAATTCAACATCCACACTCTAAGATTTACTATTTAGAAAATATTAACTACACCTCTTTTTCTTTTCTTTTAAAAAAATGGTACTCCTTCTATTTTAATTTATGTGTTTTACTTTTCTTTTTTGTCTGTTGAGAAAAAATATCACTTTCTATAATTAGTAAGTCTTTAACTCCAATATTTTACACGGCATACATGTTTAAAACTACAAAATTCAACAACAATCAAACAAATGGGGTCTGGACGGTAGAGTGTACGTATACATTAGTCCTATATTGTGAGGTAGACAGACTATTTCTGATAAACCTTCAACTCAAGGAAAATATTTTCAAAATAAGTCTGAAAAATACTAAAATAAAGAAGTTATGAAAAAAAGTATTGATAACAGAAATAGTAAGATAACTAAAGCAAAATAAAGAACAGTAGCTAGTAATAAAATAAAGAAAATAAAAAATAAAAAAGATAGTCTGATGCATTAAGCTCCCCTATGTGCGGGGTCCGGGGAAGGACCGAACCACAGGGTCTATTGTACGCAGTTTTACCCTGCATTTCTGCAAGAGGTTGTTTCCACAACTTGAACTTGTGAATAATAAAATATAATAATACTCGTAAGGAGAGGAAGGGGTAGATAAGGTACTCTAAACTAGAATCATACTCTCTCCCACAGAAAAGAGAGAAATCGCTCGACTACCTACTAACATTTCACCCTAATTCTCCACCTTTTTGTTTATGACTATAAGATTTAAGGACATTTATAGATCTTCATTTTCAAATTAAAAAATTTAAAAGTCTGTCTTACTTTTCTTAGACGTCGTACTCAGTTAAACTATAACACATAAATTGAAACAAAGAGAATATTAATCTTACATTGCTTTGAACATAGTCAGAACTTGAACCAAAAAATTTCTCCCCATAAGCACCAAGTTCACTTTTGATAAGATCAGATCCAGCACCATATAATACATTCCCAAGTGAATCAATTTGCTGAGTACAAGTTGTTGGTGTGAAAAACCTTTTCTGATATTCTGATGTTTCATACATTGTTGACCCCATTATACTGCACAAGAAAAACAATCTTTTAGTCATTTTTAAAATAAAATAAATCTATTTTATTTATTTTTCTTCTTCTTGTTTTTAGTGCTTACAAGAAGAAGCATGAGTTCAGCAAAATTTAGTACTCGATTTAATATGAAATACGAGTAATTTCAACAAATATTAAATTCAGAGTCAATAATTCAAAATTAGCAAGATATGCTCGAACATGTTCTACTAAAAAAATTAAAAGTTGAACTCATTATGTTTAATTTTTTAATCCACTTTTACAATAGATAAATACAAATATCACAACAACAACAACAACAACAACAACAACAACAAGAAGCTCAGTATTTTTCCACAAGTGAGGTTTGTGAGGGTGAGATTTACGGAGCCTTACCCCTATCCGACAGAGACGATGTTTCCGATAGAGCCTCAGTTGGAGAACGGATGACAAAAGTAATGATAACAAAAAAGAATAACAATAAAAAGGAATAAATACAAATATAAATGATCAAAGTACGAATATTTATCTTCTAATTAAGCTACAACCATCAATAAATGTGTCAATATTATCAAATATATTGAGAATATTGTAAAATGGTAGTAATAATAATCTTATACCTTAGTTGCTTCTCTTTTATGAATTTGAAGAAGCTTACTCAAACACCATGAAGTTACCTTGCTTCAGCTTCTTTGAACAAATTAAAAGAGGGTATTGCTTGTGTTCTTTTTATATTTTTTTGAGGATGAAATTTTTATTACTATTTTTTTAATTCTTGTTAATTTTGCATGGTATGAGATGGCAAACTTTTAGATGGTACGCAAACCAATGTCACAAATTTTCTTAAAAGTACTGATGACTGAAATGGCAGTTGTGTTTTAATGAAACTGTAGCCACCGATCAGGGCGGTGCTGGAGCGCAAGTACTACTTCATTCTTAATCAGAAATTTCGATTTAAAATATCTGATGAAATCGCATTTATTAGAAGTATTGTATTTGCAAATATAAAATTTTCGGTGCAAATCTAAATTTAATCAGGCCCGATATAAGCAGAAGTGGAGCCAAAATTTCAAACTTATGTATTCGAGATTCTAATCGTTTTAAGTTGCTAGGTTCTAAATCAATAATTTATATATATTTAATAAAAAATTTAAGACAAATACAAGGTTCGAACCAAAGCTACTGGGTTCCGTGGAGCCCACTCCCGACACTCTAGCTCCGCCCTGGATGTAGGTATCAGATAATGTATCAAAACAACAGCAATAACAACTATAAAAAATCTAGTATAATACCACAAATGAATTTTGGAGAGGGTAATGTGTACGCAATCTTATCTCTACCTTACGAAGATAGAGAGATTATTTTTTATAGACCCTCGGCGCGAGCAAAACTCAATAACAGCAGTGGAAAAAACAAAAGAAATTATAGTCAAGAATCCAATACCAATTACTAGTCCTAGTGCTTCAACTTATGTGGCACTATTATAAATTTTGAAAAAGAAGTTTTTCTTTAATTATGTTTCTATTTTTTTCTGTATTTTAAATTACTAACTATTATGACTTATAATATATTTTTTATATAATTTCAAATATATAAATATTACTTTTAAATACTTAGATAAATTATGTCTAAATTCACAATGAAAGGGCGTTTGGACATAAAAATTGTTAAATTCCAGAAAAAAGTGATTTTTTTTTCATGTAAAAATGGTATTTAGAAATTAGAGTTGTGTTAAGAAATGAATATAATTTTGGATCGTTTTTAAATTTTTGCGAGTGATTTGAGTGAAATTTTTTTTAAAAAATAACTTTTTGAAATTTTTTAAATTTTTAAAAAAATTAAAAGTGAAAAAAATTTCATGGACAAACGGGCTAGTTTGATATTCGTGACTCCTTTTTGAAGTTTTAAGGCAGTACAGTGTTGGGTCGTAATCTCTGCTATATAGCTATGCCTACTAGCTCTAGACCATATTAATTTCCCAATACATTACATAATAGATCATATATTAGTTTCTTTAAACTTTTTAAGTTCTTATCTTGTTATACATATTCTTAGCGAACATTCTTTAAGTATATCGGAGTATTTTTTGTGCTGGAGTATTTTTTCGGATTTTAAACAGTATTTTCGTTCAGATTTATCTTTACATGAAAAGTGACTAAATTTCGATTACTTTTGAAACTGTGGTTATTTTTGAATGGCCATTTGTAAATCTAACTATTTTTAAATTTCTCACGTTATTATCTAGCCAAACGGGCCTAAACAATTTGGGCTTGTGAATCTCAAACCCAGCATGTCCAATTCCCCATCCAAATGCATGTAAAAATTGCACGGGCGCCCTATTTGGTCGCCCCCATTTAACCTATACCCATTTTTTTTAAACTTTTAACTTGTACCCACTTTTTAAATAACTTCAGCCCCCTTTCTCATCCTCATTCGTTTTCTTCTTCAAGTTACAAAACAAACTGGTATTTATCTCCAGAAGCAACGCTGCTTTAGTTATAAGGTCAATTTCTTTTAATTGAACAGTTCGGCAGTTGTACTTCTGCTCCAAATTTACAACAAATTAGTCTTAGAAAAAAGTTTTTAAGTTACCAGTAGGATGAGCTGTAAAATTTTGGAGTTTTTGTATGTTTATTCGCGTTTGAGTTGAGAAAATGTACACTATTTTTCTTAAAAAAACACTGCTAATAGTGGTTCTTCAGCTCTAGAGCTGAAGTTCGCCAGTTACAAAACAAAAACTTCAGCTCTAGAGCTGAAGTTCGCCAGTTACAAAAACAAAAACTTCAGCTCTAGAGTTGAAGTTCGCCAGTTAAAAAACAAAAACTTCAGCTCTAGAGCTGAACTTCAGTCCCGGCTACTAGAATGCTGAAGTTTTGCATGATTACCTTTGCTACTTCAGCCCCGTATGTTGAAGTTATGCGAAAAATCGGGTACGTTTGCAATTTTTTTTGCAAAGCGGGCACAAGTTAAAACGTGACATAAAAAGCGGGTATAGATGCAAATGCACTTAGGGATTACTTTGTTTGACATATTATATATGTGGAAATTATAATATATGGATTATTTATAGTTTGGAAAAATACAATATTGATCGGTCGATCAAAACAAGCTACATTGGCTAGCCAAAATATATATAAAATATGTATTTATATGTATATATAATACACATATATATAGAAAAATATATATTTTGTTAGCTATTATTTTTTAGAGCAACTAAAAATATACATTTCTCTTTATAATTTGAACTCATGATTTTAAAACTGCAAGTGATTTAGTGACATGAACCCTAATTAAGATTGAATATCTAAATTTTAAATTCTAAATTCACCGTTGTCCCATCTTCTCGCCTTCCTATCTTTTTCTGCTATGGAGATTGCGTCAAATTTGGTGAGGTAGCAATTATTATAGCATTAGTAATCAACATGTCCCAAATTAAATAACTCTAGCTTTTCTGTTGTTACTCGTTACTGAAAACAACCACACTCGACCCTTTAATTAGCTTATCTGATGATTTATCTAGGGAAAGTTGGTGTTTGATTAATTAAGTTCATTAATTTTTGTTAATTAGTAGAGTTATATTTTTTTTTCTTCCACCTGAATATTGGGAAGAAGAAGCCATATTCTAATTCTAATACTCATGGAGATTTACTGAACTTGATAGAGAAGAAGGTGAAGAAGAAGAAGGGTGAAGAAGAAGACCAACGTGCATAGCATATTCTGTCTTTAGCATTAGGGGGATATAATTAATGGGTTAGGGAACATAAATTAGTGGGCATGAGGGGACATAATTAATGGGTTATGGAACATATATTAGTGGGCATGAGGGGACATAATTAATGGGGTTAGTAGGCATATTATAATATAAGGGGATATAACTTAGTGGGTTAGTGTGGGAGGAATAAATATATATGTGGAGTGTATAATATATACATGTACAAAGCAAGAAATAAAAACACACGGAAGTTTTCAAATCTAATTTTTTCATTCAATTTCTTACATGGTATCAGAGCAATAAGATCATTCCAACAGCCCGACCATCAAAATCCATTTATATCAGATTCATCATCATAATCAGTAATCTAAAATGCCTGAAACAACCATTACGTCTACTAGTGATACAAGCAATGTTGCAAAAGCAGTCAGCTATGGTATCAATAACTCTTATCATCTGAGCAACTCTGATTCACCTGGAATGACTCTAGTCAACACTGTATTTGATGGAAGAGGATACCCAGGGTGAAAGAGATCTATTCTTCTATCTTTGTCAGCCAAGAAGAAACTTGGTTTCATCAATGGAGCATGTCAATCTCCAGATCTGAAGTCTCCAGACCATGAACAATGGAGTTGTTTGAATGACATGATCATCTTTTGGATTCTAAATGCTCTCTCAAAGGATATTGCAGATAGTGAGATATACTCCAAAACTGCAAAAGAGCTTTGGGACAGCTTGGAGCAGAGATTTGGGAGATCAAATGGAGCTAAGCTTTATCATCTGTAGAAGGAGTTATTAGGTTTAGCATAGGGAAACAGTGACATTGCAACATACTTCTCTAAGCTCAAATGACTGCAGGATGAATTAGATGCTCTAAATGTTATCATATATTGTTCATGTATTTGTGTTTGTGAAGGAAATGCAAAGTTGACTAAGTCTCTTGAGGATCAGAGATTGATCCAATTCCTAATGGAATTAAATGACATATATGCACAAGCAAGAGGAAATATCCTCATGATGAACCCTTTGCCTAGTATGGATGTAGCTTATTCACTTCTCTTGCAAGATGAAAATCAAAGAGAAGTTTATGCAAATGGATATTTTAATTCTGAATCAGTGTCTTTCATGGCAGCTGGAGAGGCCAAGCAGCCTAATGCACAACTTCTAACTGATTTTGCAGCATTTATAATTACAGGACAAGGAAAGAATTATGAGAAACTTAGAAGCCAAACACAAAGAGGACCAGCCATATCACATAAATATAACAACTAAGGGCAAAAGTTTGTTAAAATTTCAGCAAAGGTTTAAAGGAAAAAAGAAGTACAATCCAAATGTGTCTTGTACTAATTGTGGCAAAATAGGACATACACAAGAAAACTGCTATAGAATTATTGGATTTCCAGAAGATTTTGAGTTCACCAATCACAAAGGTTATCAGACTCAAATTAAAGGAAATGTAGTCCTAACACATGAGGAACGTGAAAATTCAGTAGGACAAAGCACTGAGCTCAATAACAATAATTTTGGACATCAATTCAGCAAGGAACAAATTACAGAAATAAGCAGATGTATAAGCAGGCAAAGTTAGCACATGTAGAAAATATAGGAATCAATGCTAATGCAGTTGCTGGTACTATTCTAAAATACTCTGATTCAGTGTTTACTAGTCTAAAATCAGACATTTGGATCATTGATTCAGGTGCCTCAGAGTATATGTGTTTTGATTCTAATTCTTTTTTGTTTCTAATTCCGCTTCCTGTACATTTGAATATCAGTTTACCTAACTCTTTCAAGGTGATTATTACTCATATAGGGAGTATTTCTATTCTGCCAAGTCATATCCTGAACAATGTGTTACATGTTCTGGATTTCAAATATAACTTATTATCAGTTAATAGGTTTTGTGCTCGGTTCAAGTATGATGTCCTATTCACATCTATTGTGTGTGTGTTACAGGGTCTTTTAATGAAGAGTTCACAAGTTTTTGGTGAAGTTAGAGAGGGACTCTACTTGTTGGAACCAAATAACCTTAAGTCTAAGGGGTTGTTCAGTAGTAATGTATTTTCAATTCCAAAAGAAAGAAATCCCGTTTCAGAGTCTGTTTCCTTTTCTAGTCTAATTCAAGTTAATGGTGCTCCTGATGTTAAACTTTGTCATGTAAGATTGGGACACCTCCCATTTTCAGCAATGAAACATTTAGATTTCCTTCATTGTAGGTCAAATTTTGAGTTTATATGTGATGTTTGTCGTAAGGCTAAGCAAATCAGGAATTCTTTTCCTGTCAGTAGCATAAAATCCAAGCATATATTTGAACTTATACATGTAGACACATGTGGACCTTATAAGCAAATACTTACAATGGATTCAAATATTTTCTTACTGTAGTAGATGACTATAGTAGAGGAGCATGGACATTTTTATTAAGTGCAAAAAGTAATGCTTTTCCTATGCTTAAATCTTTTCTGTCTATGGTTTAAAGGCAATTCAATATGAAAGTCAAAATAATAAGATCTGACAATGCATTAGAATTGGGAAAAGGGACACAAGAGGCAGCTTTTCTAGCATCAAAAGGAATTCTACACCAAATGTCTTGTGTAGCAATTCCTCAACAGAATGAAATTGTTGAAAGGAAGCATAGACACCTCTTAGAGATTGCAAGAGGATTAATGTTTCAATCCAAGCTACATTTTTCATATTGGGGTGAATCTATCCTAACTGCCACACATCTTATTAATAGGATGCCGTCTAATGTTCTTAAAGGAAAGCTACTATATGAGGTTTTATTTCAAGAGAAGCCCAAGTATGATCATTTAAGAAATTTTGGATGCCTCTATTATGCTTCTACAATAGCCTAGGGAAGAGGTAAGTTTGATGATAAGGCAACAGTTTGTGTTTTGTTTGGTTATCTGCTCCATCAGAAGGAATATAAGCTATTAGATTTGTTCACATAAAGAGTATTTGTATCAATGGATGTGAAATTTCATGAATCACACTTCCCTTTTGTTGAAACCAACACATCACAACATCCTATATTTCCAAGCTCAACATTTACTACAGAACCTACCTATTCACCTTTATCACATGATCAATCCATATCCATTTCTTTAGAACCTGAAGTTTGTGATATTTTCTCCTCACCATCACCAATATCTTCATATACTCCCTCTCATCACCAATTGTCTACTAGCCCAATTTATTTTCAATCTATCATAGATACACCACACACTACCTCACCTGTTTCTATACCCCAGCAGCCTACACCATTACGAAAGTCAGGAAGAGTTTCCAATCAACCAGCATACTTGAAAGATTATATATGCAGTAATATCATGTTCACAGATGTAGCAACAGCTTGTTTCACTCAACCAAGTAAGCCTAAGGAATTTTGTTTCTTTTCTCTGTCACCCAACAATCAACATGTGTTGCAATCCATCTCTACTCTGACAGAACCCAACAATTTTGGACAGGCTTGTCAACATTCATGTTGGATAGAAGCTATGAAATCGGAGATTAAAGCTCTAGAAGATAACCACACATGGGATGTGGTTGAATTATCTAAAGGAAAAAAGGCTTTACCTTGCAAATGAGTGTATAAGGTAAAGCATTTGGTGGATGGAAGAATTGAAAGGTTGAAGGCAAGGCTAGTGGTCAGGGGGGATGTCCAAAGATAAGGAATAGATTATAGTGAGACTTTTTCACCAGTGGTGAAAATGACAACCATAAGGTATTTACTCACTATTGCAGCCAAAAGAGATTGGAATGTGTGTCAATTAGATGTCAACAATGCATTTTTGCATGGTGATCTACAAGAGGAGGTGTACATGGGGTTTCCAGCAGGCCTAGCACCTCCTAGTCCTAAGCATGTTTGTTTACTAAGGAAGTCATTATATGGTTTAAAACAAGCTTCTAGGCAATGGTATGCTAGCCTTGCAGGAGCTTTGAGTTTTAAGGGAGGGATATTCTTCATTATTAAACGATTGCTCACTATTCTTTAAACGAACAGGAAACCTGGTTTCTATCCTAACTGTCTATGTAGATGATATACTGCTTACTAGAGATGACTTGGAAGAAATTCAGCAGTTTCTACACAGTGAATTCAAGGTCAAAAATATAGGAGACATACATTATTTTTTAGGGATGGAAATTCTGCGAGAAACGGAAGGTTTTATTGTAAGCCAAAGAAGATTTACCTTAAATATGCTGCAGGAATTTGATGTATCTCATCTGCCTTGAGTCAGTTCTCCACTTGATCCTTCCTCCAAGCTTGAAGCTGATGATGGACACCCTTTGCAATATCCAACAGTATTTCGTCATCTGGTTGGCAAGTTGAACTATCTCACTAACACTCACCCGGACTTTTCTTTTGTAGTCCTTACCCTCAGTCAATACATGAAGAGACTGTGTAAGTCTCATTTCTCTGCTGCCTTACGAGTGCTCAAATATTTGAGCTATGATCTAGGACAAGGAATTCTTCTCTCCGCAGAACACTTATTCTCCTTGCTTGCATTTTCAAGAATTCTAGGAGGTCCGTAAGTGGATTCTTCATCACACTAGGAGGAGCCCCTATTTCCTGAAATCAAAGAAACAGGTGTCAATCTCTCTATCTTCTGCAGAGGTAGAATACCGATCTATGAGAAAAGTTACTGCAGAACTTACATGGTTAGTTCGACTCCTTAAAAATCTCTCTACACCAATAAGTCTTCCAATACCTCTCTTCACTCTGACAGCAAGGCAGCCATTCACATCGCCTGTAACCCCGTCTTCCATGAATGCACAAAACATGTAGAAATTGACTGTCATTTTGTGCGTCAACAGCTCCTTTCCGGTTTAATTACCCTTTCTTTTGTTCCATCTAAAGACCAACTGGCAGATCTCTTCACATAGCCACTTTCTGGGGTTTCTCACTCCGAAATTTTGAGCAAGTTAGGGGTCACAAAGTTACCCTCCAACTTGAGGGGAGATATTGGAAAGAAGAAGCCATATCCTAATTCTAATACTCATGGAGATTTACTGAACTTGATAGAGAAGAACGTGAAGAAGAAGAAGGGTGAAGAAGAAACCAACGTGCATAGTATATTCTGTCTTTAGCATTAGGGGAACATAATTAATGAGTTAGAGAACATAAATTAGTGGGCATGGGGGGACATAATTAATGGAGTTAGCAGGTATATTATAATATAAGGGGACATAACTTAGTGGGTTAGTGTGGGAGAAATAAATATATATGTGAAGTGTATAATATATACATGTACAAAGCAAGAAATGAAAACACAAAAGTTTTCAAATCTGATTTTTTCATTCAATTTCTTACACTGAATGAGTTGGTAAAATGGAGCTTTACTCCTACTATGATTGATCATTAATTCACAACTATTTTAGCTTATTTTATTAAAATACAAGATATAGTCATCATAACTCAAAAGAAAAAAGACAAAAAGAATAAGCCTATATATAGTTCGAGTTTATTAATAAAGGTATCATTTTATTATTTCTATGGAGTTCATGTAGGCATCACCTACAAAAGAGCAGAGGCAGAGCCAGGATTTGACGGTCGCAAAAGCACTATGACATTCAATATAAATTTATTACCACTCATAAAGATTGGTACGGAACCTATGCTAATATCCGATTATTTTTTGAAGATATTTGCAAGTATATATGGAGTTTTTGCCGAAGTTTCCGGATGCCGGTGACTCCTCACCCTATAGCGTGCCTCCGCCTCTGCAAAAGAGAATAATTAGTTATCGAAAATTTGACATAAAAAATAAATAAAAACATTAGATTTTTCGGTATAAGTATACTTGAATGGACCCAAAATTTTGTGCAAATATTTTTCAAAAACTCTGTCCAAAAGCTTCTTCCAAAATATTTCTCCAAAAAACTTCTTTGTTTTAAAATAATAATAATATTTAAAAAAAATGTTCAACCGTACATGATAAATAATTGAAAGCCTCTAGACTTTCCTACTGTCCAACTGAACTTATTTAACACAATGAATTCCCTTGTCCACTTGTCCAAAGCTCTGAATTTCTTGAAGGAACAAAAAGGAAGAATGAGATTGGAAATCTACATAAATGGATTTAAAAGACAAGAAACAATAGGGTAAATTTCATAAATGGTTATTATACTTTTTTTTTTTGGTAAGGAAAAAATCGCATAGATTTACCTAAGTATTTCGAAAGTTACAAACTATTCCAAAGTGATATGTTACTCTATTTTCAATCAGAAATCTTGGAATTGATTGCTGAGTATGAAATCGCTTTTAGTAGAAACTTTTATCGCAAATTAGAATTTTTCAACGTTAATCCGAATAAATTGAATTTCGAAAAGATATCAAACATCAAATAAAAAAGAATTAAAAAAACTGTGAAGTGGTCAAAGAGTTTGGTGCCTAAGTCGTTTGGAAGTGATATTGTGATTTGATGGCTGAGGTCACGTCCTCGATATGCAATCACCAGTTTGCTTCGGTTCCCTTATCCAGTCAATTAACTATGGATGTGATCAATGTTTTTTTTTGGTTTTACATTCACCGGTATTTATATTGGAGCGCGATTAAATTCGGATTGCTCTGAAAAATCCCATATTGGTTTGTGGGGGAGGGGGGAGGGAGGTAAAGCACTCCAATCCTATTTCCGATAGGGGCAGTTGACAATTGAATCCGATTTTGACCATTATTTTCATATCCATAATAGCGCGAAAAGAAGGCCCGGCTCCAAGTTGTTCAAGAATATTGGTGTTGAGTTTCTCGACCCTTTGACTTAGGATTAATCAGTTCTATTTCTCGATGGGGCGGGGAAGAGATATAACTCAACCAACAAAGACGATTCTATACCGAGCTCAAATCCAAAATTTCTGATTAAGGATGAATAAGTACTTATGATCACTCCACATATTGGATGTGATCAATATATATTTTGCATTTTAAATTATTTCAAAATTTCTTATACACTTATAGGGGTCGTTTGGTTGGAGGTATTAGAAAAAATATTGCAAGCATTAACTCTATGCATTATTAATACCTTACTTGGTACATTTTTTCAACATGCATATAACTATACCTGTATTAGTAATACATCATACTTGGTATTATCCTATGCATTAATAGTGCATAGAAAATCATGGCATTAGTAATACCAAGGCTATTAATGCATGCATTAGTATTTAAAGACAAAATTGTCCTTAAAGTCCTTTAAAGCTAGAGAATATTGAGGGCATTTTTGTAAACAACTATTTTTCTTAAAAATTATGTAATGCATTATAATTTTAATACACCACACCAAACAGTAAATAAGAAATAATATATGCACAACTAATGATTGCATTACTAATCCATGTATTACTAATACACCTTATTTCGCATTATTCTTATACACTCTACCAAACCACCCCTTAAATTTTGCTCTTGTTTCCTTTACCCCATTTTATTGGAATGTAACTAGCGCCTCCCGAGGCTAACATGGTAAGAAAAAATAATAATAATAATAATAATAATAATAATATTGACGTATAAAGATTAAAAGTAAAGTAAAAAAAAAATTGACGACATGGGTAAATTAAAAACTCTTCATTTGATTTCTTAATTTTTACTACGTACAACGTACCTCAATTTGTCTTTCAATACCCGAAGAAAAAGGGAAAAAAATAACGTGCGTTTACCCCGCACCCAAAACTATTTATATCCCCCCAATCTATATATACACACATACTAATTTTAGTGTACATGCGTTGTATATATTTTTGCGTTTATTGATAAAAAGTGCATAGAATTTAGAATAAGAATGAATTATGTGTAATAACAATTGACATCGAGATAAATGTAATATTTATTTAAATTAAAAAGTAAATGCTACATTGATGAAATAGTTTTTTTTGGTTTCCCATCCGGTGTCCGGTACCCACGTTGGAGCCCGACTATATCCGGATTCGCGCCGCATAGGGCCTCATTCTGGGGAAGTGCTCTCTACCAAGGATTTTTCCATACTCAGGGCTCGAACTCGAGACCTCTGATTAAGGAAAGAGCAGCCTCATCCGCTGCACCACATCCTTTGGTGGTACGTTGATGAATAGTTGAATGCATAGTTATTGGTTATTTTTTGAATTTGCAATGATTAAGAATTTAGGTAGGTTATTTATATATTTTTTTATGAAGATAAGCATGATATATTGTGTTTTTGTATCACTAATATCTTTTATAGACGGTATTCTTGGTGTAAGAAAAATTTCTCTATTTTTTTATTAAGATACTAAAATTATATACAATTAAGATATTAGTTAATAGAAAATTTAGAAAATCAATTGTAATATCCAACATATAAATATTAATGTTAGTTAATATTATATCTAACATGGAAAGTATATTTATGTTGATATATTTACTTCTCATAATTGTATAAATATATACCACTAATAAATTTATTCTAATAGAATTTAAATGATTAATTATATTCAAGCAAAAAAGAAAAAATAGACAAACCTAACGTGCACCTAACGTGTACTGTGTGCATATGCCATAAATTGATATAATTCTTTTATTAATTGAAAAGGTCATAAAATTTCGGATATGTTAAGGACTTCTTACCTAATTCAAATAAGGTTGAATTAGTAAACAAAAATTTGACTTGATTTAGTCTTAAATATTAGGGAAATAGTTTAAATTATAATTTTATCCAATATAAAATTAATTTTTAAAGGGTAAAAAGGGCGAACGATATTTTGCTAAGGGCCTTCGTGCTTTTAATATAGTATAGTAAATAGATAGATAGATATATATACAACGAAAATACAATATTTTTTTGATTATTATTTTGAGAGTGACTATAAATGTTATTTTTACGAATACAAATACAAGAACATTAAATCTTTTTAGTGTAAAACATTATAAAAGACAAAGGCCCTTAACCTTTTCGAAATTTTCAACTTTAGTGATGTAGCAATAATCTTGATGCCCTAACGATAATTTCTAGAGTTCTTCCTAATTTGCTTTGATACTACATAAATAGTACGTCGCTATTTTGAGAGAGAGAAAGTAGGAAAATTCAGCACAAATCATAGGTACGTACAAACACAACTTACAGACCAATAAATGCCAAAATCAAAGAGAATGGATTAAAAGCTAGAAACTAAGGAGTAAAGTTGATACAGAGCAATAATCGAGCAAAATAACTTTGAATCAAACTCAAATATGAACTTTAGAAAGAAATTTTTACCTGATTTTGAATTGGTCTTGTGATGGATCGTTTCTCTGCTGCTTTTTCTTGTGTCTACTTTGCTAAGAGATATATTAAAACTTAAAAGAGAAGAAAAGCATATATGTGGGAGTAGCCAAAAATCTACACGTGTATCTCCAGAAAGCATAAAAGAACACGTATAGAGCTGATAAGAAATGACTGAAGTGTCCTCAAGCTTCTTTAAAAAGATTTAAAGCATACACGTCGAAAGTCTTGTTCTTCTAAAGTATAGAAAAATAAATAAATAAATAAATAAGAGCGTCTAGATAATTCAGCAGCAGATTGCATAATCCAATTTGCTAATTGTTTTATTTAATGCTCAGAGTAATCAGACAAAAACCATTGAAAGCTTTTGGTCAAATTCATCGTATAATATAGTTTATTGTTCTTATGAAAAGTAATTAATCAGTTACTCATAACATTCAAAAATGGCAAATGAGACAAAAATTCCCTTAGAGTAAGAAACATTGCCCCAAGAAAATGACAAAAATGAACCCTTAGTTGGGTGTAGGTTCAAAACAGTATCTTAAGTATATACTTGATTAGTTTTGATCCTTTAAATTTGTCATAAATGAATATTTTTTAGTCTGCGTCAAATATTTTACAAACTTTGATTTTTAGAAACGCAATTGTAAAAAAATATATTTTAACAAGAAACTCTAGAAATGTTTCGTCAAATCTCATAAATTGCAACATTAAAAAATATACCAGCTATCAAAAATTTGAACAAAAATAGCAGATTGCACCTCTAAAATTACATCAACTACTAGCAATAGGCCAAAAATAGGAAAAAATGAAGAAAAAAACTGCACCTTCAAATGTGAGTTCCAATAAAAAAAAAATTATACACACTTCTCATTAATTTTAACGGTCGGAGTTTGTCAAAAGCGTCTCTTTTTCGTAAACTTAAAGGACCAAAACTACCTAAATATATTTTTAATGAACTAGTCTGAACTATCCACAAACATAAGGGACCATTTTTATCATTTTCTCCTTTGCTCTCGCTAATTAAAGAATAAGATTCTATAGATAAGACTTTCCTACAAGATATGAAAAACTCCAAGATAAACAAAGTAGTCAAATGCCGTTTGAGGATATCTTTTTGCTTCATATAAAAAACAACTTGTTTTTACATAAAACATGTTGTCAATAATAATAATAATAATTATTATAATTTTTACGTAGTTATCAAGATTTATTTTGATAAACTTAAAAATTTATATTCAAATTTAAATAAAAAAACTAAGTATTTTCACTCTTGCCACATAACGTGCAATCTCATCAAGGTTTCTTGCTTAATTACTAATCAAATTTTTTTGTTTCCGATAAATGAGGAAGGAAATCCTACAGCTCCTCATTTCAGATATTATGTTTAATGTCATGATCACTTGTAATTAATTAATATGAAAGAACAGCTAAAATTATCTATATATAGAAACTAAAAGAAGTTTCGTCGAAAGTCCTAGTTGTCGTATAAATAAATTAAATTGCAAGAAATATGTGAAAGAAACAAAAATAAATGGATATTTCACTTTCAAGTCAGAGGAGTAGCACACACTCTTAGATGCATGGAAATCCCGTGAGAGACTTAAAACAGTAGAAGGATATATATTGATAATTTTTTCAGAAAAACTGAAAATATGTACAGAGTAATATTTATTGGCAAGTGTTAGCTGTGTTGGTTGGGTGAGTGATTTCCCATACACAGGCGGGCCCGGTGTATTGGGAAAAAACTGAGTTTATATTAAAGATGACGTGACATGACACGTGGTTTGGTTAAATGGTCAAAGCGCAACAATTGACTAAGAGGCACGGATGGAGACAGCCACGGGAAGAAGAATTTAAATAGGCACGAGACGAAGTGCAGATACGAGTCTCGTACCAATTCAAGTCATTTAAAGCCAACGGATTAGAAGGCATTAAAGACAAAGATCTGATGACAAAAAGGAGTCCAAATTCATTATTAAATACCTGATACGTTAGAAAATTGGTATTTAATAGGAATGATTGTATAACAGCTTATTTAATATTATTTATTACTCATAATTATATCATTAAAGCTGAGACTTCATTCCTTTACCTAGAATTACCTATAAAAGGAAGAAGTATCATCATTTGTAAGGACACGAAATACTATTGGGAACTTATTGAAATACAAAATTATTTGTTGCTTTACCATCATTCTCAAAAGTATTTTATTTTCGTCTCCTGATTATCAGTAACCCGAATTT